TCAGCAACGTCGGGCATCATTCGAAACATATCCAATTCTCTGCCAGGCAAGAGCAGTAGTATGGACTTGACGCAAGAGCCGATGGCGGCGGAAGAGCGAGCCTGATCAATGGTATGACTGCTTCTGAACCGATGCTGCAGACGTTTTATGGCTACGAGTGAGGTGCGTGATTGACGTAACGGACGGCCGAACTTGAAGTGGCGCCATGTGTCACTGAGGACGTCGGTTGCCAGAGGAACACAAGTGGTTCGAATGCTCAGGTACGCAGACGAATCGGTGCTTAGCATTGTTTTGGAGCACCTGAAACCCACATCCACGTACAACGGATTGAAACGATTTCGCGTTCATTGGGGAGGGCGAACGGGTGCCAATGTGGCAAATGAGGAGCGAGGTGCTTCGTCTGAAACTATTTCGCAGGAGATGTTCGGCAGCTAAGCGGCGTGGCTCTGTCCAGTAGCTGAGTAGGGCCCTGACGCCAAGACCTTCTATGCGTTGCTAAACGGAAATCGAATGACAGGAAGTCGCATCCATTCTGAAACAGCACCTCTACGACCATGGGAACAAGGGCTTCAACGGTGCTGTGCTTCGGATTACCAGTTCTTGCGCAGGGAAATGTAGAACATCCCGAGAGCCGCCGGCCCACGGTTCAGTTGTACCGAGGTGTTGCAGAGCGATGGCAGACAAAGACAGTCGAATTCCATGTACCACACACTGAGTTGCAATGACTGTAAATGGGTCAAATAAAATTGGCCCAAGGGAGGGGGCACCGAGATGACGGATGAGAAACAGCCGAACAGTTAAAAAAAACCGTTCGTTTTTGAGATCGCGATCGTTCGATCAAGATGAGCACGTTTTAATCGTCTTTTTTTGCACAATGCCGTCAAAACAAGGGATCATGATCAGGGGGACAAAAGCTAGTAGAGAACGGATCCGGCCAGATTACAGAGCCAAGCAGTGCAAGAGAGGAAAAGCCGAACTTCTGAGCCAATGGGAGGCCAAACTGAAGTGGTTTCCTCGCTAGAAACAGTAGAAAATGAGGGCTCACGAACTGGGTCTCCAACAACACAAGAAACTGAAGTTACTGAGGGGTTAATCAGTTACGTGCCGCGGTGTTATCGAGCCCTTTAGATGAAACGACTCTTCCAGTGCGCGTGAATGCCACAGGGGCCTAAAGAAAACTTGCTCCACCCTGAGGATTCGTGTTCGATAGAAAAGGAAATACTCCATATTACTGCGGACCTTCATTAGCATAATTCAGTCGAATCACAGAAGCTAATGTCCAAACCTCCGTGACCATAAGGACAACGACAGTCGAGGTCATCGGTACGAGGGAACGCCATCGAACCTCTTGTCGATGAAGGAAAGCGGTGAACTAGACAGTAATAAGCAGGGCTGCCGCAGGGACTCATCTTTATATATATATATCTCCATATTTCTGCCCAATGAGTCCATCGAAAAGCGCGGTATATGCCAAGGCCCGCGAAGCCAGCATGACCTCTTGCGGCGTTGTCTGTTCATTTACTCGTATACGAGTTCATGTCCTAAGGACGAGGGAGCTACAAGCCTCAAATCTGTATCAGCTGAGTATTTTGGAAAATTTAGACGAATTCGAAAGACACAATTCGCAGCTACAGCACGCTTTTCAACCCTTGGTACGTTTGAATGGCAGAATCCCATATCCTTTTCTTATTTCTAAGCCCTTGCCCTTACAAGCAGATCACAAGCTCATAGATTTTCGATCATATTGTACAGAAAATTTCAGATTTTGTCAAGGTTTGCTATTATGGTGCACAGTGTCTGATTGGCTACGAAGGCGCCCGCGTTCGTTCCAACTCAAAAATGAGGTATTGCATCCATGAACTTTAGTTCCTCAGATACGTGAAGTACTGGTCAGCGTAAAAGGTCACCTTAAGCGTCTAGAAGAAAGGGGAACAGGCAGTACTGCCATATATCCCGGTATAATTGTATTCATCTGTCATTCTCTGCCGCAATACTGGCGTATATTAAAACTGTGAATAATTTAAATGAATAATGAACCTAACTTTGTTAGGCACAGTAAGTTTGTTTCGTTCAGCGCTGAAGATACGGACAACTTATATGTATCTGACTTGGTATGGTTAGTGAATACGTCGGAAAAAGGGTATAGTGCAGTCATATCCAGATGTACTGTAGGTGGTATTTATAGTGATCATGAAATAACTTATACTTTTTAACTGTTTGTCCAAAGCATGGTTTGCGGTGTCATCACATCACATAAAATACATTTCCAATTCCGAACGTAATTTTCGCTAAACACGCCACTTCCGTTTTCTTTGCATATGCAATTATTCGATATTCTTACAGACGTTTGGCACGTCGAGCATTCATGAATGCGATTGTGCTGCCGTCTGAAAATCGCCTATTGACATTCGCGTCTAGCGTGTGCGACAGGAGTTTGAAAACCGTGCGAGTGTTTGCTGTGTGAGGCACCGGTTACTTAAAGGGAACGATTTGTCTGTGAAAGCGATCTGCTGCTTTTACATGCTGACATCTGCCCGTTTCTGCTGACACACGAGAAGCTCCTGGACTAGGGTAAATGCACTCTGCTCAACCAGTTTCTCTACAGGGCCGACCTCTTACTCAATTTCCATATGAACAGAGGTCATCTGTGCCCGGAAGAGAATAGAGTCATCCCTTACGTAGCCCTGTCCCTTAACCCTCTTTGTGAGTCGAGGCCAACGCTGCTTTGCGCAGTTTTGTCATTGTGCTAGCTCCTTCGCTAGAAAACCTATTCCCCCATGACGTACAACAACACTGAACTGATCAAGGCAAGGCAGTGGCGGAGTTTCATCGAAAGGGTTACTCGTTATTCAGCCCAAACATTGAGCAGATAACCGTGGACACTCGAGACTGTGCGATTCTCTTATTTAAGTATGACTAATTGGTGCCGTTCCTGGAGATGACTGGCAGCGATACATAAAGGGGTCAACCTCATGAACCGTAGCATCAGTCTGTTCCACTGACAAAACAGCTGTTCCGGATGAGTTTCTCATAACCTCAGACTTCTCGGCGTTAACGAAGAGGGCAGCCTATAGTCTGAAATTTTCTAAAGTGCCTCAACCTCCAGCCAGCCATGAAATGCACATGAACTACATTTTCAGACATCATATGCTAGCAATGCCTCAGGGGAAACACAATTAAAATCCTGAAAAGAACAACATTACTTTGAAAGTACGAAGCTGAATCTGACATGTGAAAGACCCCTTGAATCAGACTGTGTTATCCAGTAGACTCGTTTTTGCCAGTTTTGGTCTAGTTCTGAAGATCAAGGAAGTTTGCGCAGCTGTTCAAGTGCAGAAGAGCACTTTAAATATAGTACCATCTACAGAGGCACCTCGCCGTTCAACGTCCCTAATTAATTACTGCATAATACGCATAACGAAAGAATAAACGCTAGGAATCTCCTGAGGATAAGGTTCATTACCCTTTGCCTAAATCGCAGCAAGATGCATCTGAACGTTAATCCTGCTAAATCTGTAAAAGCGCCGGGAGTACGCGAAGGTAATTAATGTCTGCGTCTTAGATAAGAAAAAGACTTGAACTGAGGTCCCAAGAAGTAGTTTTGCAGCATATCACCCAAATAGGGAGTGCAGGAATATAGGTTTTCCGAGCTTTACAAAAGCACTTAATGAGTTCGTGCGCTCATGCAGAGTTCATATATGTTTTGTATACAAGTACTATAGCTATTGATCATCTAGTTTGCTGAATTTGTCTCAAGACTAAGCACAGTCAACGATATGCTATTGAAGGATATGTGGTCCACAGCATCAATCATATAGCCGATTTGGGAAAATAAGCAAAATCATTACTTATCAATCATGAAATTATAATAAGGTGAGTATGCAAATATATACGTAAGTAATTAAGTAATCGAATAAGTTAAGTGATAACGTTAAGTCAGACTTTTGAGATAGCGGAACTCGTACAGAAGACGTCTCGCGATTTCGCTGTGCACATTATTACACTTCAGAAAACATTGACAAGCTGAAGATTCGTCTCAAGAACCGTGAACAACGAGAAGACGGTGCTCATTGGCGACGAAAACTTGCGTCCGAGCAATGAAGCATTGGAAACGGTCATCTTCCAAAAAACATGACGAAGTACAACGCCAGTGTCATAGGGAAAAACGTACGGTTAAGATTGTCGCCGAACTCCCGGAGCGTATCGTTCGTTACGCGGCTGTGTCTGTCGGTGCCATTTATCGATTCAGCAGTGAATTACTATGAGCCAATCGTCAAGATGATTGATGGTCAGGAGGGGGGGGGCGGCTACGATTAAGGGTCGAGGCGAGGTCGAGGATCTGCACGTGTTGACCCGCTCTCCATTCCTGAATTCGCTGGTGGTACAAAACGGAAGAAGGACAAGAACCGACGAGAAAATTCTTACTGTTTTCATAGCCTTGCCGGAGAACAGCTTGTGCAGCGTGTTGTCGTTGATAATCGGAGGAATCGGCCTCTTTGCTGTAGCGGCATGTCTAGCCATAAGACGAGCGAATGGGAAGACAGGTACGGCGACGAGTTGTCGACGCGACACAGACAGACAGACGGACGGACGGACGGACGGACGACTATCGTCGTCGTCGTCGACACATGTTAAGCCATCTGATCGTCATCGATCCAGCAGCAGCAGCGGCAGCAACAGGCCGCAGCAGTCTCAATGTGCATGTGCCTCAGTTGGTCGCGGGCGACCTCATTCAACTCCGCAGTCTGCGACCCGAAGGCAAGAAGGCGGGCGGCGAAACGACCAGATGCGGTGGCCGGCGGTGATTGGTCACTGACCTTCGGTTCGCCCACCGACGACAAAGGTCACACCTCGCAAATCGTCCGCGCCCATTGTTCGTCGCCTGTTGATAGGCCGCAGTGGCGGTGCCTCTTCCGAAGAGACACCATGCTGGCGGCTCGGGTCCGCCTCGTCAACCGGTTTGTGCCAACCGTCGTGTGAAACGACGTCGACGATGACACGGTGACAACGTCATACGGTTGTCACGTTGTGTAAG